AATATAAAATATCCTTGACAAACCGTCACAACTCAGAATCGTTTATCGTATACAAATTTATTGAATTCAAATTTAACACCATCCATTAGAGTGACCAACTTGTAGCCTACTGTACAGCAGAGTGACACACACATACCCGTTTTTTTAATGTTATTAATAGTTATAATTCTTATTTTGTAAATACTACGTCGGGGTGTCATTAACGGGCTTCTTCCCTTTCATGCCATTAATCCCCCTCCAATTTCCTCATTATACTATGTAAATATATATTGCACTTAAATAAAAACTGTTCAATAAAAAAAAAAAAGTTAAAATTTCTGAATTTGATTATTAAACCTATCAAAATATGGTTGAAAAATGGAAACCCTAATAGTAAGTGCAAAAATCATCATTAAGGATATTATAACAAATTAGCTTCAGTGTTTTCAAGTTCCAATCAGTGGCATAGCCAGGATTATGAAATGGATGGATTTAAACACCCAAACTCTCCTAGCTACGCCACTGATTAAAATTATAGAAACTAATAGGAACTATAGAACAACCACCAATCTCTGTGGCAAGTCTACTGACATGATAATAATTTATTAAACTTGATGATGTTATTATGATGTTAAGGATATTGCAAACGAACAGATTTCAAGGAGTTCAAACTAGGCAATTTTCAAATTGTATGCATGTGGATCTTGTGAAATATGTGTGCATAGTAAGTGATCATTGTGTGCAAGTGTGTCCCGCACGCGTACTTAGGTAGTAGGTACAAGTCACTTAGTCACCGCTATGGCCCGTGAACGGTTAACAATTTATGCTCATTTGTAAGTACTTTTTTTTTATCAACCCTACCAATATTGGCCTGATAACGCGACAAGACTTCTGAAAACTGATTTGAATTCGTTAATATGTCTACTTGAGATCGATCAGGCCACATTTATTAAGATAATTAATTTAATTTTCGAATTATCAGCATTTAAAATTTAGTAAATTTGAAATATTTATTATTTAAACAAAATGTATAAGAGTTTAAGAACAACTTTTTCAAAAAGTGGCCGGTTCGTTCTCAAGTATACATATTAACGAATTCAAATCAGTTTTCAGAAGTCTTATCACGTTATCAGGTCCATCGGTATGATTGACAAAAGATTGGTACATTTTGGTTGGAATAATTGTCCGTCTGCAATCCCCTTAATATTAGCTATTACTTATTATAATTTATAAGTAATCTAAATACCCAATGAATAATGAAAAAACAATGCCAAAGGCAGGTAGAGTGTACGACTCCCCCGTAGCTACGGCACTGAAACCTTTGTAATATTATTTTTGGAATAATATTGTATAAATTACTTTATAATATATAAAATTTGTTTTTGGCAAAAATGAGTTTCATTAATAGAAAAATAAATAACTATGTATTACTATATATATATATATATATACAATATAGCCTATAGGTAATACAATATCCCAAGAAATATACCGCCTACGCTCAGATTGATTGTTTTTCACAACATGCATTGATTTATCTTTGAGTTCAAATTTAACACATTCATTACAGTGACCTATTGCTGGCTGCACAATGACTAGAAACACTCAACTTATCAGCAAAACGGCTTCCCCGGTTTTATTTTATTTCTTATCTCATAATATTATTTTTACACAGTAAATAATTATGTAGGTATACACCGTACACAGTAGCATCAGTATAATAATTCGATTTATTATTTTTAGAAATAATTTGTCGTCACATTTGTGTGAAAAATAATCGTTTTTAATATTTTTATTATAACTATTTTTAAGTTTTACTTTTTTGAATGATAGAATATATTTGTAGTTACGTAGTCCGAAACAGAATATTTTTCTGAAAACTTTGTTGTAGACAGGGACTGGAACCTTGAAGATTTTTACGGTTCCGGTTCCTGTTCGTTTCCCAGAAAAACTAAAATTTGGGTTTTGGTTTTATTTTGGATTCTTAAAAAATAAAAAATAATTTTATACTTATGTCAATAAATTTTTAAAGTAAAAGTATCGGTTCCGGTTTAAATAAGGGTTTCGGTGAGGTTTCGGTTCCCAATATTCAAAGGGTTCAGATTTCAAAACCGTTTTTTTCGGTAAGGTTCCAGTCTCTGGACTTGTAGGTAAAACTGTATAGGTAAGAAATCAAATTTTTAACGATTAGTTGATTATATAGGTACGTAGACCTAGTTATTGTCAATACCTGTTTTTAATAGGTATTAATATAATTTCACAATTAATGCCACTCTACTTCGCTCATCAAAACTTCCTGCTTATAAAGTTATAACTTATAATCAATATTAGTTATGACTAATTATCTAGGTACTCGTTTAAAGTTGAATTTTTATGCTTCAAAATGACCAGAGCAATAAAGCAATATTTACAATATTTATTTAAGCAATTAACATAATATTATGTAGTAATAATGATAATTTATATATTAAATACAATCTATAAGATTATCAAGGGACAAAGGATATTATTTGTATTTTGTGGTTAATTTCCTATATTATTTTATAGGTGGTCCTATGTTCGTACACAGCAATCGTTAGGATTTAAATATCACATTTTCAATAATAATAATCAACATAAAATATTATTACCACATCTATTATTACAATAAACAATATTTAAAAATTCAACTGGGGAGGGGGTGATTAAAACATTTGAACCCCGTCTATCCCTCGTGAGCACTTCCCGTAACTGGGAGGGGGTCCAAGGGTACAGACCCCCCACCCACCGACATTTTTTCAGTTACGGCCTTGAGCACGCCTATTTATAACATGAACCTATATTTTGTGAAAAAAAACTATAATCTCATGTGTCACTTTTTCATACCTATATTATCTTTCAGGTTTAGTGAAACAGATCTCATTGGTAGCAGCTAGGTAACTGCCAGTGTTTATTATACATCTTCCGACTGTATATTACAGTAATCGGAGGCACCTACCTACCTACCAACATCGGAAGTCTTCAATCAATACCTTCCAAACTCTTCAACTATGGTTCATCACGTTTATTCCAATCTGAAGAGTGCGTTGTGAGTATATTATATTTAATAATATATTTTATTACGTTTCCATCGACAATTACGACTAATGAGCTACGGCTGCAATTTAATTACATAATATAAACATATGATAACAATATGTTGCGTTTAATTATAAGAGAGTGTAATAGTGTATACTGTATTGCAAACGTTTAAGTTTTTATCAGCCACAAGTGGAGACAATGAAGTGTAAACATTTTTTATTATAATATTATGATTATGTATATTGATGAATATTGTCCGTCTGCTGTTATCGGTACTGGTTGAACTATAATAGTTATAACTTATAACCTATTATTAAATTAATCAGAAATGGTCATCATCTATTTCAAAAGTCAAAATCCATTTATGTATTGTACATTATTGAGATCAAGACTGTGTTAATATAATGATGTAAAATTTATTATTTTATACCTACTCGGTGTTTTGTTCCGATTAATTATTATGAATAGGAACTTATTAATCTAAAAAAGTATTAAAAATATATAGCAGTTATGCATTTATGGCACAAAAATGCTGTAAAAAAATGAAATTATTGTATTAAAAATATTATTAATTTAAGTAATGACAACATTTATCACTTTATATAACACACAATTTGAACTTTTGAACACAAATCGTCACACTTGTACATTAGTAAGACAGAGCAACACGTGGATGCATCCTCTTAAAAAATCTCAGCCAAATTATTTTATTGGAGAAAAAATATACTTAAGAATAATTATCTATTTTCAAACATATTATACTAATCTATTTAAATTCATAATATATTTTTAATAATTTGAAATAAGAAAAAAATAGAGGAAAACTATTTACTGTTTACTAAAGATTTCTAGTTTACTTAACTTGTTTTTGAGTAAGTGACTGTAATGACTAAAAAACGACGACGAAAATACAGTCAAACAATATTGGAGATTCGTTCAACAATATCAAAATTATTAATTGGATATAATATTTAGTATGTGTCTGATACTGTCAGTTATGGTTGTGCTGCCAAGTCTATGAGGGTATTTTCTTCGTTGTCTGCAGACACCAAATTATAATTTTTATCTACATAAAATCAGTCAGTAGGTAAATATTTTTATTAGTTATTACTTATTAGTACAGTTTTGATTTAGTGTGAAATAATCTAATGATTACAAGATAGATGGTCAGGTGGGGTAATTGTAAATGATTCTAACAAAGTATATTTCTAGCTATAAATGTTTGCTAACATATAAATTGGTTTTATCACTCTATACCGATACTAGTGGACGTATTAAATATATTTTCAATGCAATTTTGGCCAATTTTAAATACCAAACCTAAAAAAAATGCAATTTACATTTACCTCAGACATTTACCATTACCCCTTGGTTTGGGGATAAATGTAAATGGACAGATTAAAGCCATTAGATAATCATAAAATTGTGTATGGGGCAAATGAAAATGAATATTTTTTCAACTAAGAGTATATTTTTTTTTTATTTTTTTGCACCAAAATTAAAAATTTGGGATATAATTTAGAACAGAATACTTAAACTCAATGAAAAAACATAAGGGTAATTGTAAATACATTTTTTTTTACTTTATTGAATTTTAACAGTCTTTTGTTTCAATTTAATACATAATAGGTAAGTAAGTTGACTTAAACTTAATATTTAAACTTATTATTTAGCATAGCACCAATTACTTTTTTGGTTTTATCTCTATCAACTGAGATCTTTAATAATCATAGTGTAACTAAAAACAGTCTTTCCTCGTTTATACTAGGGAACTTGCATAATAATAATATTTTAGAATTATAAAATAACAACTTTTTGATACCTAGTCAACACTTGTAAAAATTTAAAAATGTGACAAACATAATAACTTATATACAAAACTTACAGCTAAATAACAATTTCACTTTTCATTAACTAGTATATAACCATTAAATTTGTATACGACTTTTCTGCCTTTCATATTAAGATCTGGCAGAATTGCTTGTATCATTTCGGCAGTTATAGTAGGTACTCATTTCACCATCATTAATTGAAAACTGTGTTCCAATACAGTCTTCTTGTTTCAGTCCTTGGACTATCACATCACCATCATCATCATCCACACTTTGCACAAGACACACATATTTAAAAAGTGTTTTCTTTCTATACCCTCCTATAAAATTAACCAATAAAAATTTACCAACTTTAATATCTTTCCAAAAAACAGTCTCATATTGTATCTCATTTATTTGAACATCTTGTAAATCACTGTGGTCATCTCCAAAAAATGTTGTTTCAAGTGTCACGTCATCATTCATTTCATATCATCATATTCATCATATTCCTATTGATTTATTATTAAACAATTTTAACCCCAGCTATACGAGTTTTATATACCTACATTTAAAATGTATATATTTTTTACGGTAAAATTATTTTATGGTGTCATGTCAAATACTGACGACAAAATGGACTGTTTTATTCGTTATAACGATTTTAAGGCTTTTTTATGATTTATTTATATTTCTATGAGTTATTTATAATTATATTAGTATTACGGTAGATTGAAGTTGAACTCATTTTTGCCTAAAATATCGAATTTTATATATTTTTATTAATCATATAAAAATGATATATTATCATATACTATTGTAATAATTACCTTATAAAGTTGTAAATTTGTAATCTAAAAAGAGTCGTTAGTAGCAACTCGTTGTTCTGTAATACTATAGAAGTTGTATTTACGCCTAACGTGGAACGGGGAAAATCGCCGAACTCGTGAGCATTAAAAATGTCATTGTGTACCTTATAGGCAATTAAAATTTAAGTAATGACAAACAATTTCATGTCCCTACGTTTTATATTGTTAAAATTACGAAAAAAAAATGATTAATGAATTGATTGTTAATTTTTGTTTGAATTTCCAAGCTCGTAAAATTTTAGATTCTGAGTGGAGCTATGAATGCATTTTGAACTGTTTAAGGACATTTTCAGTTATCAATTTGTTTTTTTTTTTTTATATGAATGTCACTAAAATGTATTTGTTGGGTAAAAAAGCTTGAAAATTAATTAAAACTTGGCTCCTAATACAATGTTACAGTGACATTTGAAAAATATTAAAAATCCACTCACCATTTTTTTTTATAAGCATTTAAAGTTCAAATCTTGACAAAATACGTAAAAATCACGAAAATGTGCAAGTTAGTTTGAGTTAAAAATTCATAAATATATTTTTTTTTTAATCTAAGATTTGAAATTATAATACAATATTCCTCATAAGTTTGTCTACAAAAAAATGTCGACAAGGAAGTCAAGTTAAAATTGTATGAGTGATTGAAGTTCATATTTCTTTAACATTCACTCGACTTCTCATGTAGCCATTTTCTTATTTTGTTGTAATTCAAAAACGAATTACTACTTTAGTCTGTAGATACATGAACATTTCATAGAATGTTTTTATAAACATTTTCTATACACCATAACATTTTGAAAATAATTTGACCTGTTTTGAGCTGTTTACAGACATTTTCAATTTTTTTAGGTTTTTTTTATAAATGTCAATAGAATTTTATTCGTTGGGTCAAAATGTTTGAAAATACGAGGCTTCTGATGTAATATTGTTACAACAGTTAAAAAATATTAGAAATACATGAGCCCGTTTTTTTTTCGTAAGCATATAAAGTTCGAATGTTGACGAAATTTACAAATTATTTAGTAGTTAACTATTTATATAATGTTCAACTTTTATAGCTGAGGATTGAAAACTTACGACAAGGTTCTCCGTAAGTAGTTAATTCTGTAACTAAAAAATCGAAAAATATGAATAAACACAGTTTTTTTTATAGTTATATTAAGTTTAAATTTGGACGAAATTACATATTAAATAACCAAGAATAATGATTTTAGTTATTTTTTGTAATCTTATAATATATTAGTTTAACTTACCGGTTACTGTATTAATAATAAGAAATAACAATATAAATATAATATAAAATATTCTAGACTTAAAAACCGTCTTCGGCGAGTGGAAACTCTCCGCTTACAATCGTTTTTCGTATTCAATGATATTATATCATTGAATTCAAATGTAATACCATCCATTACAGTGACCCATTTGTAACCTACTCAACAGCAGAGCGACACCCACTTTTTTAATATTAAAAATGGGTATGTATGATATGTATTTTATATTTTTAAATTTCTGTAGGTAAGAACAACTAGTGGGGGTTGAGGGAACTTTCCTTAAATTAATGAGCTTATTATTTTTTTAAATGAAAATCGTTATGCATTTTACTACAAAATAATTAAATTAAGTTATTATCTACAAAATAATTTTGGAATTTGTATGATTTTAATTCTTGTCAACGAAATGCGTGTGACTATGATTTTTACTTTTGTTTTTGAGCGGAGTGAAAGAATGTATTGATTTTACAATGAAGTGTGTTTTTTTTCTATTTGTCAGCAACATTTAGGGTAGTAAAAATGCTCTGATTTTTGAGATCAGAATTTTTTCTGATAGAAAAATGAATCTAGTTGGTACTTTTAGGAGGTCATAATTGAAAATTCCAAGTAGTTATAGCATCAAGAAAAACAAAAAAAGAGAAAAAGGGTGGTAATTTGTACGCAAAACCAATTTCTAAACAAATCGGTTTATTTTTTTAGTTTAACTCAAAGATTAATCACCGTATACACTTGAAATTTTCACTAAATATTTATATTGTTTCCATAGATGATAACATTTTCGAATTATTTAATAATTTAATAATATTTAATATAGCTTTGAGAAACTTCAATTTTTTAAAATTTTTTTATAATTATTCTAAAAACTCATTCACTTAGTAAAAAAGCTTGAAAATTGAATGATAGGTTCCTTATAAGTATTAATATAAGTTCAAAAATATTAAAGATATATTTTCACGATTATTTTTTATATACATTTAAAGTTCAAATTTTGACAAAAACCATCAATATTTCGAACAGTTTCAAACTATTTTTCTGTTCAAAATTCATAAATGTTTTTCCTTTCATAGATAACGTTAGAAATTTTAATAGAAGACTCCCCACAAATGTTCCTACCTTAAACAAAAAAAATGTTTGCTGGAAAATAAAAAAAAAAAAATATTTTACAAGCATTTGAATTTAAAATTTTTACGATTTTGGAATTTCATCCTTAAATTAACGAATTTTTATCCATACATTTTTGATATTTTTTTGTAATTCAAAATCGAATACCTAGTTCTAAAGTAGTATAGTTGACATTTTCACCAAATGCTAAAATTACCATTTTCCATACACTGTAAAATTTTCAAAAAATGTTCATTCTTTTTGAGCAATTTTTAGCCATGAGAAAATTTTTCAAATTTTGTAAATTATTTTCAGTTAAAAATTCATAAAAAATTTTCTTTTTACAACTAAGATTAGAAATTTGTATACAAAGTTCCCAACAAGTTTTACTATCTCTATCAAAAAAAAAAGTTCACCGAAAAGTTACTCTTTTGTAGATAGCCATGAGATATTTTCGATTTTTATTAATTTTTTTTATTTTTACAAGTATGAGTGGTATGACACAACGTCTTCGTATACAAATATTTATCATTGAATTCAAATATAAAATTTCTATTACAACGACATGCTTGACAACTGCTGAACAGCAGAGCGTTACCCACTTGTCCACTCACCTTTTTAATTCTAATAGTGACGTGAGACACTATTAAAACACATTATTGAAAAACAAATATTTGCATCACTCATAATTTTAAAATTTTTTATTTTGGTTGATTCAGTAATATTTCTAGAACAGAATATTTAATTGATACAAATTTCTAAATATTCCTATAATTTTTTTTATTTTATGAAACTTTGTGTCAATACTGTCAATAATTATGAAATATGTATACAATTATAGTTTATACAAATGTGTAAAATTAGAAAATATGTATATGCGGTACTTACAATAAAATATCACAGCATCTACACAAATATACACTATGAAGTTTAATTCTACTCGTTTTGCAATAAAATAGATTTTTCTCTACTCAGTGATAAATTCCAAAAAGGATACAAAAAAATTTACCAATGCAATAACTGCCGAGCTCCATATATTGTAAAATTGTATTATATTTATAGTACCTAATTCTACACAGTCACGTTGGTGTATCGAAATGAGGATACGGTTTATAACGCGCTTATAAACGGTTTGTAGACTTGTATAGTAGTTACAATGCTGCGTATGTTATTAATAGATTAAATATTAAAACATATTTTTCACTCAATTAAGATTTGAAATGTTGAATTATTGTAACACATACGTATATACTATGTATATTGCGTTGATGTATTTTTATTAAAATTAAGTACCGCGGGCAAACTTCCTATAAACCAATTATTTATGACACGTAAACTGTTTTCTATATTGTGTGTAGGAGGAAAATGACCTTTCCTTCATACAAGACCCTTTTATATCCCTATTTTAACTGGATGATGTTTATTTTTAGCTCAATAAAACTAAGTGGTAATTGTCGTTAAATTCATCAAGGTTAATCGAATGAATCTGCAATATCAGAGCTAAAATACAAACAGGACAGGTGAAGTGATGCTGCTGACGAATGAATGAACACTACACATATAAATCTTACGCTGTCGTGTGGTGTGCATGCTAGCGTCCTGTAGAATGTATAGTGGAGTACCAGAATTGATAAATAAGGGTGGGGGAGGGGGCTAAAAATAGCAAATAAAAATTAGGTATTTTCTTCATTTATTATCGTAATATTGCGTAATAGTATAACAACACATTATATTATATAAAAAGTACTGTTTTATGTTACAAAGGTAGGCGTTACTTTCAATTTTATTTTATTTTTTATGCAATTACAAAATTATTTAATAATTGGGAGCAATCGTCTAATTGCATTGTTATATTTGGAATAATTATTTAATTATAACACAAATATATATTAAACAGAATAGTATGTTTTACGTGTATCTTGAAAAAAATTATAATTTTGACATTTTATTACATTTTTATACATTTTTATTTAATATTCTGAAGCTGAATATTTTTAGAGAATTTCGATGTACAAAAAAACAATTTTGGACTAGTTTTACGTACTTAGTAAATTAGTTGCAAGTACCTATTTAAAGTTTAGATAAGAGTATATTAGTGGATAAACATGGGTTTTATATTGATAATATAATTTAACATTTAATGAAATGATAAAGATATTAATATGTTTATCTGATCTTGGGTAAAAGTATAAAACGCGTGATTTAGAGGCCAATTGAGTGAAGTATGCTCAATTTTATATTATACTATCTTCTT